ACTACGGGCTTCCAGCCACTTCCCCTGTTAACTGGGACAGTTAGGAAGCATCTATTTTCTAATAGCTTCTCTTCATAAGCAGTTTCCTGAATGATCCCACTTGGCATAGTACCTGACACACAGGAAGTGTGCAGTAAGTTAAAAAGAAGAAGAGGAGGGAGGAAGAGCAGGAAGAAGAAAGAACTGCATTCTATCTTATTTATTCCCTAGACTCTTACTTCTAGGGGACAAATGGGGAGAAGCTAACTTTCAAGATCATGGTAGTTCAAGCCCTACTTCTTAAATATGAGGAAGCGAGGCCCACAGAGGTTGGTAACTTCCCCAGAGTCAGGCTGTTACTAGCAGAGCTGAGTTTCTCGCCCACTTCTCCTTACGTCCAGTCCTGTGCTCTTTCTATAGTAAAAACTTCATGCCAAGGGACAGGCTATAGGTTTTCAATAGGCAGCAGCAGAATAGTTAACCACTGTGTCCCTGTGTCCAAAGCATTTCTACAGGCAAGCAAGGATGATGAACACTGTTGTCCACTGATGGCAGGTTCCCTATCACACATTTCCTGGGACACATGCTGTAGCATCTAAGTGAGAACCAATTAAAATGCTACTCTGGTACATTCAGTAACCAAAGTTCTTTACAGGTTACAGCATTAACCAGAGTCATTCCAAGTTCTGTCCTCTGACAGACTGATGTCAGACTGACTCCCGTTCTCTCGTACTTGTAACAGGAAATGTGTCTCATTCTCTTCACTAACAAACATTTAGAACATGCCTCCTCTGGGTAACACACTATGCTAGGCTCTAGAGCTGTGAAGAGAGGTATAGAACATGGGTCCTGCATGTGTGGTGTTTGAAATCTGTGAGGAGACAGAACACACATACAAAAGATAACCTCAAAGTGGGTGTATCTAAGTACAAATGAGAGGAGCAAAGGATAAGGCTATAGGATTTCTAGGAAGCCCTCCAGGGAATTAGAAAATCTAAACATAGACTTCTCTGAGCGCAACTGAATGATATCCACCATGGTAATTAAGGTTCAAAAATATAAGTGTTCACCAGACATGAAATTAACATTTTATCTCAATTTATGTATTACTGTTATATCACCAAATTCCAAATCATCAGAAACAAACTACCTTGATATCTGGCTCATATTTATGAAACAAATACTATCCTCATAACTCATGTCAAACAAAAAACTATACTGAGAAATATTTCACATACAAAAGTAAAATATGTGTGTATTGTTAAAACACACACTTATAACCTCCCAACAAACAAAAGTCCAGGGCTGGATGGCTTCACTGGTGAACTCTACCAAACATTCAAAGAAGATTTAATACCTATTCTTCTCAAATTCTTCCAAAAAAATTGAGGAGCAAGGAATGCTTGCAAACTCATTTTAAGGTCAGCATTACCTTGAGGCTAAAACCAGACAAGGACACCATAAAAACAGAAAATTATAGACCAATATCTCTGATGAACATAGATGCAAACATCCACAACAGAGTATTAGCAAACTGAATCCAACAATCCATTAAAAGGATCATATACCAACATTAAGTGAGATTTACTTCAGGGATGCAAGGATGGTTCAACATCAAATAATGTGACATTAACAAAATGAAAGATAAAAATCATATGATCATCTCAACAGATGCAGAAAAAGCATTTGACAAAATTCAACATCCATTTATGATAAAAACTCAAGAAAATGGGTATAAAGGAAATATACTTCAACATAATAAAGGCCATATATGACAAACCCTCAGCTTTTAAGACCAGAAACAAGACTAGGATGCCAACTCTCCCCATTTTTATTCAACATAGTATTGGAATTCCTAGCCACAGCAATCAGACAAGACATAAAGAAGAAATAAATGGTATCCAATCTGCTAAGAAAGAAGTAAAACTGTCACTATTTTAACAGATGGCACAATATTATATAGAGAAAACCCAGAAAAGGCTACCCAAAACTGTTAAAACTAATAAATGAATTCAATAAAGTTACAGTATACAAAATTAAAATACAAAAATCTGTTGCTTTTCGATACATTAATAACAAACTATCAGAAAGAGGAATCAAGAAAAAAATCTCATTTATAATTCCATCAAAAAAAAAATCTAAAAATAAACTTAACTAAGAAGGTGAAAGATCTATACAGTGAAAACTATAAGACACTGATGAAAAAAAAACTGAAAATGACACAAATAAATGTAAAGATATTCCACACTCATGGACTGGAAGAATTATTATTGTTAAAATGTCCATACTATCCAAAGCAATTTACAGATTCAATGCAATCCTTATCAAAATTCCAACAGCATTTTTCACAAACTAGAACAAATCATTCTAATAATTGTATGGGACCACAAAAGACCCCAAATAGCCAAAGCAATCTTGGGAAAAAAGAACAAAGTTAGATGTATCACACTTCCTGATTTCAAACTATACTACAAAGCTATAGTAATCAAAACAGTATGATTTTGCCATAAAAGCAGACACACAATTTAATAGAACAGAACAGAGTGGAAATAAACCCATGCATACGTGGTCAATTAATTTATGACAAAGGAGGCAAGAGCATACAATACAGAAAGGATAGTATCATCAATAAATTGTGTTGAAAAACTGGACAGCCACATGCAAAAGAAAGGAACTGAATCACTATTTTACACCATATACAAAAATTAACTCAAAAATGGATTAGACTTGGATGTGAGACCTAAAGCCATAAAACACCTAGAAGAAAACACAGGTGGTAAGCTCCTTGATAATAATGTTAGTGATGTGGTTTTTGGTTTGACTCCAAAGGCAAGGACAACAAAAACAAAAATAAACAAATTGGACTATACCAAACTTAAAAAGCCTCTAAACAAAACAAAACAAAACAAAAAAAGCTTCTGCACAGACAGGGAAATCATCAACAAAATTAAAAGGCAATCTATGGAATGGGAGAAGATATTTGCCAATTATATATCCCATAGGGGTTAATATCCAAAATATATAAAGAACTCATATAACTCAATAACAACAACAACAACATCTGATTTAAAATTGGGCACAGAATCTGAATAGGTATTTTTCCAAAGAAGACATACAATGGCCAATTAGCACTTGAAAGATGCTCAACATCACTAATCATCAGGGGGATGCAAATCAAAACCACAATGAGATATCACCTCACACCTGCCAAAATGGCTATTATCAAAAAGACAAGAAATAACAAGTGTTGGTGAGGGTACAGAGAAAAACGAACCCTCATGCACAATGTAAGGGGGTGTAGCCACTATGGAAAACAGTATGAAGGTTCCTCAAAAAATTAAAAATAGAATCATTATATGATCCAGCAATTCCACTTCTGGGTATCTATCAAAATAACAAAAACATGAATTTGATAAAATACATGCATGCGTATGTTCACAGCAGCATTATTTCTAATAGCCAAGATTTGGAAACAACCTAAGTGTTGATAGATGAATGGATAAAGAAGATGTGGAATGCACGTGTGTGCGTGCACGCACACACACACACACGGAACACTACTCAGCCTCAAAAAAGAATGAAATATTACCATTTGCAACACCATGGACAAGCCTTGAGGGTATTATGCCATGTGAAATAAGCCACACAGAGTAAGATAAATACCGCATGATTTCACTTACATGTGGAAGCTAAAACCAACCAACAAAACAAAACCCAGACTCACAGATACAGAGAACAGACTGGTGGTTGCCAGAGGGATGGGGAAGCAAAATTGGTGAAGGGTATCAAGAGGTACCAAACTCCATCTATAAATAAGTCAAGGAAATATAATCTACAGCATGGGGAATCCATTCAATAATATTCTATTAACTTTGGGGACAAATGGTAACTAGACTTACTGTAGTTATCAGTTCCCAAAGTAGACTCATGTCCAAATCACTATGCTGTACACACGAAATTAATTTGTATGTCAATTATACTCCAATAAGAAGACACATACTTGTAAAATTAAAATATGTGTCTTGTTGAAATACATACGATTTTATTTTCAGCATCACGGAATATCAGGGCTAGAAAGTAACCAAGTTGCCAGGGTATCCATTTATTAGCTGTTCTGTTCACCCTTACACATCCCTAGCAATGGCTTCTCATTCTATGCTTGGCAACCTCCGGTGACAGTAACCTGACTAGCTGATGAGACAGTATGGTTCATCTTTGGACATTCATCTATTTCATTCTACATAAAAGCAATGTACTTCCAAATGGGAAAATTTGCAATAGGGGAAGAGCCAGTGGAATATTTTCTAATTCATTACAGAAGTATCTGCTTTTCATTATTAGGTTTTTTTCCGAGGTCTATTTCATGAGATTGATAAAGTACAATGGTCAGTAAGCCTGTACAGTAACATTCCTGTTCGTGGACATTCCCTTCAGGAAACTCACTATGAGAAATTAGGTAATGCAAAGAAAACAGTGCTATATAAGAATTCAGCAAAAATACTGCATTGAGAGTTATCTACAACATCTGTTAATCCTACAGTATCTAGAGTAATGTTTCATGTTAAGTATGTTCCTGTGTAGCAACAGAAAGAGCTTGATCTTGCAATAAATGCATTTATTAATCTTGCAAGAAACATGCATTTATTATCATTATATTCTACTTAATGTGGCCCCAAAGCATACAGTTTAAGAAAATGCTTACTGCTGGGATTTAAACAAAAAGGTGTGTAGTTGCTTTGGGCTGCATTAGCTGAAAAATAAACCATTATGGGTTCTACTGTATTTGACGATTCACCCCATTACCAAGATTTCTGGCTACGCAGGCAGTTAACTTTTCACACAAACTTAGGCCCCTTGCACAACTAGTTGATTAAACAATCATCTTGTTCGCTATTGATAGATTAAAATAGTAACACTAACAATGAATTAAATGGGAATATTTTTCCATCTACCACCACCACCAAGGGTCAAAGCAGGATAAAGCAGCAGTGGGAGGGGAGAAGGGGTCACTTGACTCTTACCACTTGGCCAGCTGGGGATATCCTGTCTGTACCTCTGCAGGACGGTAGAGGACGGGCTTTCCAACTCACCTGTGTTTTGAGAATGACATCCACAAATGTAAACTTTCACCCAAACCTCATGTAGTTCTCCATAATTTGAGCTGCCCTGAGGAGGTATATTTCAGAGCCATCATCCTTTACAGCAGAATTGAAGGGTGTAGGCATTTGCATTTTTGTACTCTGCCTCTAGTAGGTCCCCACTGAGCATGTGGTTCAGAGCAGGCTAACAAGGCTGCTAGGTGGGGATACAATGATGAACAAGACCCAGGAGGTTACTGTACAATCCAGCAGCAGGATCAGAAGAAGGCTGGGCCCCCCAAACGTCTACCATGGATGCTTTTACCCGTTATCAACACAACTTATGGACTGGCTATCTCTAGTTAGTGCTAATTTACGTGTTTCTTGGGGCATGGCTAATGAATTCTCTGCCGTTTTTTTCTCAAGTCCCCTTTGTAAGTACTGTTAGGCATGTATTACCAGCAGCGAAGCAGTGCCTGGCAGAGAAGCTCTTCTTTAGACCCTCCGGTAGCACAGAAATCAAACACAGCATCGGAAAACAGCTGATGGGATGTGTGATGGAGTGTGGAGCAGATCGTGAGGAGAAAAACAGGGAAGCAACATCAAAATCAAAGACAAATGCAAGACTGGTGAGGGGACAGGGGAAGGTCAGCAGCCGGTGGGGGTGGAGGAGAAGAAAGGGGAGCAAATGCACTGATTCCAACCCTCATTTGCACTTCTGAACTAGAACTTTCTTCAGACACAGTGTAATGCCTTCAATTGTTTTTAAAATTTTGGAACTTGAGGAAGTAACCCCAAAAGGCAGTCTCTACCACTCCCTGTCAGCTAATATGAAGCAGTACTGTGCATAAAACATGAGACTTTGCACCCTACGATCCCAGATAAAGACAGAGAAGAGCAAATTCTTTAATGAGGTGAACCCTGACTTCTGTCAGCACCAAGAAGACTGCTTACACATGGGGAAGGAGAGAAGCAGAATACAAGTAAAGCAGGGGTTCCGGGGGAAAACCGGGAGCGGTGGAACAGGAAATGGTGAAGGGTAAAGAGGGAGAAGGGGAGAATTACTATCCCTACATCTGTCCATACCACGGTTCTTCAGATACAGATGGTGTTCAAGCAATGACTCCATCAACCAAAACCCTCGGGAACTACAAATAAATCATCCTGACAAATACCTGGAAAGTTTCAGGCTGCCAAACTAATGCTGATGCTCATTGTTACAAAAAAAAAAAAAAAAAAGAACAATTCTGCTGTAAACTCACTCAGGTTTTAAGCTCAGGGTCATCATATATTGTACACTATCATTTTCACAAGTAAAATTTAGAGCACAGTTATTGGCTCTTGTTAATAATCCAATGCTCCAAAGTCTCCCAACATTTATTCCAAAGCACTCCCAGAAGATTTCTTATAAAAGCTGGCTTATTTCCCAAGTGAACAGGTATGGCTGTGTATCAATGCTTTTAAAACCTGCCCCTGGCTAGTTTCCTAAAGAACCAGCAGCAGGAAATATAAGCCAGATGTGGACCTTTCAGTATCTGAACCAGATATCATGAGATTCTATAGACCTATTTAAATTTACTTAAATAAAGCCCTGATGATATGGCTGCAAATTCAGAAAGTATGACTATAAACACTTTATGGAAAAGGAACTAAAAATTCAGTATTTGGGGGCAACTATTGTAAGGCAAATTCTATTCAGCACAAGAGTTAAAATGCTAGTACTGTATTTAACAAAGTCAAAATGTAAGCGAATACACAGAATCCAGTGAGGAAAAGAATTTAATGCAAGTGTCATCAGTTTAAGTTGTTTTCCCAACCATAAGCAGATGTTGAATCTGCCTGGCATCGGCTTAAAAATATGTGTAAGGTTTTTGCTGGGAAGCAAAGCAGCATCACCTGTTTGGAGAGCTGTCTTAACAGTTACACCTGAATCCCCTCCACGGAGAACAAAGCAGAGGACACGTGAAAATACCTGCAAATGTGTAATATCCGTCATTCTAGAGCCAGCTTTTCTTCTCTCTATGTTATTATCGAGCACTGCCCTGAAAATATCCCAATTGCAGAGAAGAAAAATGAAGTCCGGCTTATACAACATCTCAAATTGCATGCAGTGATTTAAAGAAAGTCAAAACTAAACTCTGACTCTAGATAGTGTGGTAAGGATGAACTGTAGGATTAGCAACAGACGAAAATCAAAAATAAGTTTTCAGGATTTTGTATTTTTAACACAGCCTATTTATTGAGTCACGGTACTTTCCCCAGTTAATTATTAACCACATACCTACCAATCCTTTTAAAGAAACGCACAGGGAAAAAAAAAATCACAGCTCATTCTTCTGTTATCTTTCCCGTAAGAAAAAAACCCCAAAACGACCCCTGGAAGACAACCACACAAAATAGTCAAGCACTTCGGATCCTGCCCAGTACAATCACACTTACTGATCTTTTCCTCATCTCTTGAGAAAGGAAAACAGCAGAGCTGACCCATGGCACTGGTGCTGTCTTTCCTTCCCGGTGCTCTTCTCCCCGGGTGCCCCAAATAGAAGCTGCAGCTCGCCCTGCGATCTGCGAGCACGCCCTGCCTATTCCACTCCCAGCAGCAGCCCGAGCTCCAAGAGCCAATGCACAGCCGGCAGAGAGAAAGGAGAAGGGGACTCGCCGTGAGCAAAAAGGCTCCACCTCCCAGTCCTCCAGCCAGCGGCAAGGGCTCTGGGGCCGGCATTCAGTGAGAGAAGTAGCCCCATGCTCGCCCAATTCTCTCACCCAGCTGAGAGCTCCCGGCCTCCGCTCCGTGCCTCGAGCACAGCCTGCAGAACTGTGTGTGTCTTGAAGCAAGATCGTCCAGAACAAACCACAATGAGTGGTCCTCTCTCCCGCAGACAAATATAGTAATTACACCGAGAAAGCCGAAGAAAAACAAAAAGCCTACATTTTCGGCCTGCTATTTAAAGAGGAAGAGCTTTCTTTTATCCCCAGGAGATTTGGGGTTCTTTGTTTGTTTTATGAGTAAGGAACCTGACGTGGCAGAACACTGAAAACACAACTTGAATGAAGTACCACTAACGACCTGCAAGCTGCACCAACTGTAGGAATGACAGGGAAAAAGTGGGGGCAAAAGACAATCCTGTTGTCGGCACTTTACAGTGTAGCTTTTAAGGTTAAACGTCTGCTTTCTGAAACGCTGCTATGTTCTTCTATTAAATCAGTACTACGAATTTTGAAATCAGAGCATCAAGTATGTCATTAGCCCAGAAAATTCCCCAAATCTAGAAGCACCACTGAGAAAAAGATTGGAGATAAGAGCACCTTTCAGAATGAATCCACGACGTGGCTAAGCAAATTCAGGGACAGCACAATGACTAATTTTAAAACACAGTATTTGAACTTTATGACAGGAGATAACTGACTTCAAGTAACAGCTCCGAATCTGTTCCCTTAAATAGGGAACAGCCTTACTTTATGACACTACAGGAATGAAAGACAGCTCTTAGTGCCCGAAATGCCATCCAAATTCCGGCCGTACTCCTCTATTTTCTAGCAAGGCACACACACACCCATCTACCAGGAGGTGGAAGGATGACCATGACAACTTGCCGTGGTTCTGGATGCAGGATGCCTGCTTTCATACCCCTCTGAACAAGAAGAGTATGCAGTTTGGAAAAATAACAGCTGTCTGTTTTTTGTTTTTTGGTTTTTTTTTAGATTTTATTTATTTATTTGACAGAGAGAGACACAGCGAGAGAGGGAACACAAGCAGGGGGAGTGGGACAGAGAGAGAAGCAGGCTTCCCACGGAGCAGGGAGCCCGATGCGGGGCTCGATCCCAAGACCCTGGGACCATGACCTGAGCCGAAGGCAGAGGCTTAACGACTGAGCCACCCAGGTGCCCCCAGCTGTCTGTTTTTTTATGTTAAACATTACTTCCTGCATTTAAAGAAAGAAATATTTGTAGTAAACACTCTTCACTGAAAAAAATGAGTAATTCTTGGCATTCCCTAATCATCAACGTTGATGTCGCCATAAAACCTTTAGAAGTAGAAAGCCAGGGGCGCCTGGGTGGCTCAGTCGTTAGGTGTCTGCCTTCGGCTCGGGTCATGGTCCCAGGGTCCTGGGATTGAGCCCCACATCGGGCTCCCTGCTCCGTGGGAGGCCTGCTTCTCCCTCTCCCCCTGCTTGTGTTCCCTCTCTGCCTGTGTCTCTCTGTCAAATAAATAAATAAAATCTTTAAAAAAAAAAAAAAAAAGTAGAAAGCCAGAGGTCTGAATCCCAGATTTGCCAGATATTAGCAGTTCTGAAATATTGACCTCTTTGTCAGAGTTTGGATTATCTTCCTCTGTAAGACCTGAAAATCAGGTTAAGTTCATTATAAAGTTTTTAACTTGTTGCAAAGTAGATAGTGTTTGGGAGGAAGGAAAGAGGCAGAGAACAGATAACTATAGCTATTTGCACCTCTGTCTTTTTAGCACCAGCCAGTAATCTCTCCTCCTCCTGTTCCAATCTCCTGCCCTACTAGCTGCCATCTTGAGTTACTGCTTATACATGTTATACATGTGGACTCCGAGCAAAAAGGCCCCTCACTCAGATGCAGCACTCAGGGGATAATACTCTGTGATGAACCCTACACCAACTTCACTTCATTAATTAATTCCTATTGGCACTACTTCTGACAATATGCAATTAAGAATAAAAATATAAGTAACAGTATATACCTCAGGATATCCTGCAGTCCAAGGGGGAAATACATATAATGTCAAATATCTCTCTCTTTCTCTAATGTCAGAGATTTTTTTTCATAGGCACTGAGTGAATCAATCATAATACAAGATTAGAAAAACAACTGAAAAATTCAAGACAGGGATTTTTAAACCGGCTTTTAATTTTGCAAATAATTAGCATATCATTTAACCTCAAGGAGAGGATGGAGTCTGGTTTCCTCTCACTAAGGTTTCTCTCTGTTCTGGAAGGGTATAGTTTCATACTGTAGGTCATGGCTACTCTCAGCCCAGGATTTCC